CCTTGAATTTTTCAAAGATGAGTGTTTTCCTGTGGAGATAAGAACAGAACCCTGCCCCCATTCTATATGTTTTTCTTACCACCTGTATGAATATCATCATTGTGGATGAGTAGGAGGTGGGTCTTGTATCTTATCTGTTGCTTTCATTGGTTAATAATAAAGAAACTGCCTCGGCCCTCATAGGACAGAAAATTAGGTAGGTGGAGTAAACAGAAGAGAATGCTGGGAAAAAGAAGCTGAGTCAAGGAGTCGCCATGATTCTCCCACTCCAGACAGAAGCAGGTTAAGATCCTCCCTGATAAGCCAGCTCGTGGGCTATACAGAATATTAGAAATGGGTTAGAACAATATGTAAGAGCTAACCAATAAGAAACTGGAACTAGCCGGGCCAGGCAGTGTTTGAAAGATACAGTTTCCATGTAATTATTTCAGGGCATAAGCTAGCCATGCGGGCGGCCGGGTGCCGGGGACGCAGCCCTGCCGTTCCTACTTCAACACAAATGGATCAAAGACCTCAATATAAATCCAGCCACCCTGAACCTTATAGAAGAGAAAATGGGAAGTACACTTGAACGCATTGGCACACAGAACCACTTCCTAAATAGAACCCCAGCAGCACAGACACAATTAATAAATGGGACCTCCTGAAACTGAAAAGCTTCTATAAGGCAAAGGACATGGTCAACAAGACAAAACGACAGCCTACAGAATGAGAAAAGATCTTCACTAACCCCACATCAGATAGAGGTCTGATCTCTAAAATATACAGAGAACTCAATAAATTGGACACCAAAAGATCACATAATCCAATAAAAAAATGGAGTACAGATCTAAACAGAACTCTCAACAGAGGAATCTAAAATGGCTGATAGACACATAAGGAAATGTTCAACATCCTTAGTCATCAGAGAAGTGCAAATCAAAACAACTCTGAGATTCCATTTTACACTTGTAAGAATGGCCAAGATCAAAAAAGCTGATGACAACTTATGCTGGAGAGGTTGTGGGGAAAAGGGAATACTTCCGCATTGCTGGTGGGAATGCAAGCTGGTACAACCCCTTTGGATGTCAGTGTGGTGATTTCTCAGAAAATTAGGAAGCAACCTTCCTCAAGACCCAGTAATAACACTTTTGGGTATATATCCAAAGGATGCTCAATCGTGCCACAAGGACATGTGCTCAACTATGTTCATAGCAGCTTTGTTTGTCATAGCCAGAACCTGGAAACAACCTAAATGCCCCTCGATGGAAGAATGGATAAAAAAAATGTAGTACATTTACGCAATGGAGTACTACACAGCAGAAAAAATAATGACAGCTTGAATTTTGCAGAAAAATGGATGGAGCTAGAAAGCATTATTTTGAGTGATGTAATCCAGACACAGAAAGACAATTATCACATGTACTCACTCATAGGTGGTTTTTAAAAATAAAGCAAAGAAAGCCAGCCTACAAACCATAGTCCCAGAGAACTTAGACAACAATGAGGGCACTAAGAGAAACTTACATAGATATAATCTACATGGGAAGTAGAAAGTATAAAAAGACAAAATCTCCTGAGTAAATTGGGAGCATGGGAACCTTGGGAGAGGGTTAAAGGGGGGAAGGGAGAGGCAGGGAGGGGAGCAGAGGAAAATGGAGAGCTCAATAAATATCATGGAAAAAATAAAGTTATACTATATGTATATATATAAGCCATATATATATATATGGCTTTATTTCTATAAAAACTGAAAGAACAAATTTATATTGGTCATAGGATTATGGACAAAATCTTTTACATTGGAATTTTAAGTCATAACTTCTCCAAATGTTTTGTAGCATGTTAAAAAAAATCAAGACTAATGAGTCTTTCACCAAAATTTGAGAATTCATGAGCCAGGCATGGTGGTGACTACCTGAAAATCCAGCACTTAAGGGGTAGAGGCCGAAGGAGCAGCAGTTCAATTTCAGTCTTGATCGTAAAGTGAGTTTTGGTCAGCCTAGGCTATGAGCCTCTGTTCTACCCCCACCCCACTTAAAAATTTTTGAAAAAGAGAACTTGTAGTGTTTCAGGAAATTCTTGCCTTAGCAGGTGTTGAGGAGGCATGTACCAGCTGGAGCTAATTATTCCTCTCTAGTCTATCTAAATATGGTTCAAGCAAGAATTTCAGCGCTTCTCCAGATTAGGAGTCAAATTATATTCCTCACTCGGGAAGGGTAATTATAAATCACCATTAAATCCTCAACCCAGCCGGGCAGTAGTGGTGCATGGCTTTAATCCCAGCACTGGGGAGGCAGAGGCAGGTGAATCTGTGAATTTGAGGCCAGCCTGGTCTACAGAGGGAGTTCTAGGACAGCAAGGGTTGTTACATAGAGAAACCGTGTCTAGAAAAACCAAAATAAATAAAAAAAAATAGTCGGTTTGGTATTGTGGCCCAAGCAGCATTAGAGAAATATTCAAAAAAAAAAAGGAAGAAAGAAGGGAGGGAGGGAGGGAGGGAGGGAGGGAGGGAGGGAGAGAGAGAGAGAGAGAGAGAGAGAGAGAGAGAGAGAGAGAGAGAGAACTGTACACCTTTAATCCCACCACTCGGGAGGCAGAGGCAGCAGAGGCAAACGGATCTCTGTGAGTTCAAGGCCAGCCTGGTCTATAGAGCTAGTACACCCAAGGCTACACAAAGAAACCATGTCTCAAAAAACCTTCAAAATATAAAAAAATAAAAAGAAGTAAAAGCCCTTAAGAATTTTAACACGGTACCAGACCATTAAGGCAAGCAGAAAGACTTCTGATCAGAGCATTGTGTTACACACCCATGAAGCCTGGCCTGCCCACGGATCTTGACTGTGAAAAACTCTAAGGCCCTTCTCTCGCTGTTCTTTTTCCTTTCTACTTTGACACGTGAATGTCATCTTGATAAACTCGATTCACAAGGCTCTCTCTGTAGGGAGACAACCCTAGAACAGGAAGTCTCTATACCAGTACTCCAGCTAAAATCATAAGGGGAAAACAGAAAGAAGTAAGAAATGATATCTTTTGTCAAGCAACAAATGGAGAGTCAAAGCTGCTCCCTGAAAGAAGCTGAGTAGAAAGTAAACAGAAATGTAATCTGCTCTCCGGTAAGCTTTCATTTGATAGGAAAACGAACAAACAAAATGTTGTGATGGTAACTGCAAGCCACAGTTGTGAAGATATGTCCTGCAAACGACTGCTTCATCGAAGGATAAATTGAAGAGGAAACTGAAATGTATGAATGTATAGATTTTTAAAAAAAACATTAGGATATAGAGCAATTAATCAAACTGTCCGGCTAAAATATGCAGGTCTTATTTAGCTTCTAAACCAAAGCCTTAAAATCATAAAACAACTAGGAATTTGATATGTTTATAAATAGATGTGTCTGTTCATGAGCATGTGTGTGTTTAAAGGAACAGTGACTACAGGTGGAGAGTCTTTATCTTAGAAATAGGCCCCTGACTTTGAAGTATGTCTAAGTTCATGAAGTAGCTAAGAATAAAGAAAACACTGGAAACTAGGTGTTGAGTACTTCTTTCTATAGTATTATTCTGTAATTTTAATAAGTTGGAAATTTGCCATAGTAGTAAATCAAAATAAAGTTAATGTAAAATAAACTTTACTGTGCAGTGGTGATGGCACATGCTTTTGATCCCAGCACTTGGGAAGCAGAAGCAAGTAGATTTCGGTGAGTTTGAGGCCAGCCTGGTCTATTGAGTTGAGTTCCTAGGACAGCTAGGGCTGCTACACAGAGAAACCCTATCTCAAAAAACAAAAACCAACACAAAAACCTAAGTAAACTTCATTTCAGAAAAGGAGCAAGACACATAAAGTATTAAGAAAAATTAGGGCTTGGGAAAAAAGAAAGAAAAAAAGAGGAAAAATTAGGGGAAAATCCACCCTTATTTCATTCTCTCATTGTCTCCAGCATTTCTGCGAATGCAGAAACTACAATTGGAAGTGGAGTAGGTGGAGCAGATGTTGTATGTGTTTAAGTTTTTGACATCTTGCACATCATAAATACTTCTCTGACAATTTTATTTTTCTTTTAAATATTGCATGAATTTTTACTATTGTTTTTTCCTCCATTTAAATTATTTTTTCCTCCACTTTTCATGTGTATGGTGTGCTTACCATACACCTGTGAAAATCTTCTTCCATTGGTCTTCTACATTATTCATTGAGGTAGGGTGTTTCTGTCAAAGCTAGAGCTCCCAAAACTCTAGCTAGCAAGCTTGCTCTCGGGATCCCTCTCCACCTTCTGAAGTTGGAATTACTGGCTTTCCAGAAGACGTTTACACGTGTTTTGTATTTACTCGAGTTCTGGGGATGCTCATGCTTGCCCAATATGCACTTTAACCACTGAGCTATCTCACCAGCCCTTACCTGCATTTGAATTCTGAGACAAGAATCCAGGTTTTGGAACAGAGAGGGCACCCCAGAGGGGCATCCTGAAAACAGACAAGAGGGAAAATGAATCCCCCAGAGACCTGGGAATGGCTACCAGCCCTTGGAGCACACACTGCCTATCTCTATCAGACAAAGAAATGCCCCAGGGCTCAGAGTGATGGGGCCCAGGCTGAAGACGTCAGAGTGACCAGCAGGTGAGGAATGGGCCTGGACTTTGCCAGGCAAGACCCTCAGGGCAGGAGGAGGGGCGGGGCCGGGGCGGAGCTTGGCCTGTGACGCGGATCACGTGACCGGCCCACGCAGGCTCACGCCCCTCTCCGGGTCCTGGACTTGCCCCTGCTCACTCCCTCCAGCCCGCCATCCCGGCCAGGCACCTGTTCCCGGTCTCGTAGCTGCTGGCGCAGAGCGCGGGTCCCGACAGCGCGGACAGCAGGAGCAGGAGGAGCTGGTGAGGGAGGCGGCGGCCCGGGCCTGCGGAGCCCGTCGTCGGGGCGCGGCGACCCCGGCCCCGCCGTCGCAGCGCAGGCCGAGGCAGCAGGTGGCCGTTCCTGTGCGCGCAGCGGCGCGGCCGGCCTGACGGGGGCGGGCCCGGGCCGAGACCCTCGGGGAGCAGGAGCCTGCGCCCCGCGACTGCTTCCCCAGCCCCCGGCCCGCTCCCCTGCAGCTCCCGTGCCCAGGGCTGGTCGGCGGGGCGGGGCGGGGCGGGGCGGGGGCGGCCGTGGCGGCGGGAAGAACCTGGGCTTGGGCGGGGGTACCCAGGGAGGCCCCGCGGGTCCTTCCTTCTCCCCTCCCTCCGTCCCTCCTATCCCATCACCGACCCCCTCCTGCCTGGTTCGTTCGCAGGTCCCAGGAGTCCGGCTTCGCAGCGCACCTGGTGGTGAGCATCGCCCCCCGGGAGAAGGCAAAGATAGGCCCAGGTGGGTGCTGGACAGGCCTGGAGGCCCGAGAGCGGGGAAAGGGGACCTGGGCAAGGCTGAGTCCAACATCCCAGAGCCCAACTTTTCCCTCTACTTTTTATCCTCTTTCATTCCCGTCCTCTATTTTTGTTAGTGCTGGAGCCTCAGAAATGGGTTCGCAGGGGAAATACTGGACTTCTGGGGTGGGGGTGGGGGGCTCAGGCCCACGCCTGAGCCTGTGTTCTATGAGCTGATCAGTCTGCGGAGAAAGCAGTCCTATCTATGTCTTGTTTCCTAGGAATCATGGCGTCCAAAGAGCAACAGGTCTTAAAAGATCTCGCTGTGCAGAACGATGAAAAAGACCACGCAGGAAGGAAGGCCTCCAAGCAACGTGAAGAAGAATTGCAGCTCTTGGAAGAGGTTAAAAACAAGAAGCCCGGGGGAAATGTCAGAATGGGACTAGTCAGGCGACTTGTGCCTAATTTTCGATGGGCCATACCAAATAGACGTGTTGAGCACAATGAAGGAGGAGAGGATGCTGGGAAGTTTGTAGGACAGGTGATGGAAACCAAGAGAAAGACTAGGGAGCAACAGAGGAGGCCTTATGGGCGGTTCCAAACACCGGAACCTGACAATCACTATGACTTTTGCCTCATACCTTAAAATAGCAGTTTTTCACTGAGCTATTAAAGTGGCCTCTGTTTTACAAGCTGGTATTTAGTGAGGTACTTTTTCTGTAAACTTTCGGTGTTTCCACCTAACTGTTTCTATCTACGTAAACATGTTTTATTGTTGCATCTAATTCTAAACATTCCTATCAGCATGACAATTTAATGCAGTGTAGAAGGAAATCTTTTTTCATCAATTGAAACTAATAAAGCAATTTAAAAGGCAGTGTATGCTGAGTCGTATTCTTTTACCCTGGCCGTTAAATTTCCTTCACAGTGTCTTAACTCCGCCAGCTACTTGGACTTAAATAAATCTATTGTCACTGGCAATTCTTTTCTTTTTATTATTTTTTTTATCATGTTTCCAATTAACCAGTAAGGAAAAGCCGTACCTCCAGCAATGTATTTGTAGAGGTTTTCAAAGAGTATGTGCCTAGTATCATTATGGAAATACCTTGGGAAGAGGGTTTGTTTTGTTTTATTTTTGTTTTTTTTTTTTTTTGGCTGGTTGTTTTTGCTGGGCTGCTGGGAGGTAGTGGCACATGCCTTTAATCCCAACACTCAGGAGACAGAGGCTGGGAGATCTCTGTGAGTTCTAGGACAGGCTCCAAAGCTACAAAGAAACCCTGTCTTGAAAAACAAACAAAAAAAAAGTAGGGATTATGACAAATTGGGGTAGTCACTGTGAGCCCAAGTATGGCTAAAGAAAATCTCCATCTTGAGTGACCTCTAGTTCTTCACCCTATCACCACTTTACAACATCTCAGACCTCACTTTTCTCCTTACTACAACGTGTACAGTTGGATAATTCTGTTTATACATGATAGCCATGGAGCTGCGAGAAGCCGGCTGCCCAGGCTGCCCCTCTGCTGTGGATCTTAACAGGTGGACTTAGCTGGGACATTTGTATGGCACCCTCTTCGAGACACATAATTTCTTTTTTAGTTTTTTGAGACAGGGTTTCTCTGTAGCTTTGGAGCCTGTCCTGGAACTCCCTTTGTAGACCAGGCTGGTCTCGAACTCACAGAGATCCGCCTGCCTCTGCCTCCCAAGTGCTGGGATTAAAGGTGTGCACCACCACTGCCCACCTGAGATGCAGAATGTTTAATTTGTAATTGAAACAAGCTGAGGAAATTCAAAGAATTAACAAAGCTGAAGCTACGTATCTGATATCTCCAACAAACACATTAATAGAACACTGGGGCATAAAACTTATTACTATAATAATCAAAAAAGAGGCTATCAATTTGGGAAGGAAGGGTTGGAGAGAAGGAGGGAGATACTCTAATATTTTAAAATTTTTAATAAAATCTTAGGCCCTTCAGTCTATTACTATTTAAAATAAGAATTATCACCCATTTTGGCTCATGAAAAAAGTTTATACATCATAAAAAGCAGTTAAAGCCAGGTGTTTGTGGCCAACCTGGTCTACAGAGTCAGTTCCAGGACAGCCAAGGCTACACAGAGGAACCCTGCCTGGGGGGTTGGGTAGCCGTTAAAATCGGAGTCTGGATGTTTGAAGTTTTAGTGAGTTGTAGAGCACTCCTACCTGGTGTGTAAAGCCCTGGCTGGGGTTACCTTCCAACAAAAACTGAAGACTATCTCCCATTAGTGTAAATAATTGTTTAGACAAACAGTTTTTTTCTGCAGAAAAAGACCCTTAAAATGTGTTTCTTTTTATTTATTTATTTATTTTGGAGAGAAGGTTTCTCTAGCTTTGAATCCTGTCCTGGAACACTCACTGGAATCTCTGTGAGTTCGAGGCCAGCCTGGTCTACAAGAGCTAGTTCCAGGACAGGCTCCAAAGCTACAGAGAAACCCTGTCTCAAAAAACTAAAAAAAAAATTATGTGTCTCGAAGAGGGTGCCATACAAATGTCCCAGCTAAGTCCACCTGTTAAGATCCACAGCAGAGGGGCAGCCTGGGCAGCCGGCTTCTCGCAGCTCCATGGCTATCATGTATAAACAGAATTATCCAACTGTACACGTTGTAGTAAGGAGAAAAGTGAGGTCTGAGATGTTGTAAAGTGGTGATAGGGTGAAGAACTAGAGGTCACTCAAGATGGAGATTTTCTTTAGCCATACTTGGGCTCACAGTGACTACCCCAATTTGTCATAATCCCTACTTTTTTTTTGTTTGTTTTTCAAGACAGGGTTTCTTTGTAGCTTTGGAGCCTGTCCTAGAACTCACAGAGATCTCCCAGCCTCTGTCTCCTGAGTGTTGGGATTAAAGGCATGTGCCACTACCTCCCAGCAGCCCAGCAAAAACAACCAGCCAAAAAAAAAAAAAAACAAAAA